TTATTCACATAATAGTTGTTTTACATATTTATATGAAAAAGTAAAATTAGTTGGGCATTATAATGAAAAGATAACTAAAATGTAAGTCTTAAAGTAAGAATAACCTAAAATGTAAGTCTTCTATTGAAAAAGTAAAAAAATCAGGCCCTAAATTAATACAATTACTAAAAGTTAGGCCTTCTAGTAGAATTTCCCCTTATTATGTGAGATTAGAATTCTTGACTATTAAGGATACCTTTTTTCTTGGGGAATAAGCCGTTAAATCCTTATAAATAAGGATCTCAGGTTCATTTTTTCCAATCTTAAGCTCTTGAGATTACTTAAATACACGATGAAAATATCTGTTTTCTGACTTGAGCGTCGGAGTGTACGTCGGGGCCCGCCCCGGCGCTTTGCAGGTCGATCAGTTTCTTGAAGACGAAGGCGATCGAGACGTCCGAACTCTAACGCAATCGAGAGAGGCGGTTCGACCGGTGAGTTGATTATTTTGGTTCATCAGAGTATGTAGAGTGTAAATGAAGATATCTCACCCTTTTATATATGTGTGTTACCTTGTTTCAAAACTGCCTGGATGGGTTACCTGAGCTACTCGTTCATACTGTCCAAACTGTTCGAACTGCTCAATTTTGTTATGCGACGTGGCCCAATCCACGTGTGGTGCTAATTCAGATTATATTCCTTCTTATCCACAATTCTTGCTTGTTAGACGGTCTAATCGTGAGACCGAGCCCACTTTTCATAAGGTAGATCTTCTCCCCAGCTAGGCTCGTTTACTCTGCTTCCTGGTCTATTTATCGACTTGTGTGCCTCTAAATCGAGTCTCTACTAGGCCATCAAAGGGCCTTAGCTCGACCGGTCGGCGATACTTCTTCACGGAGCGCCTTCGTCGACTTGATGAGTCCCTCGATCTCTGATCGACCTACTAGTTCACGCGGTTCAGTTGGCCAATTTCTCGGGTCTGTCAACCCGGTACGATATCCTATATCACATGCTTTGATTTTTTTTTTTTTTGTTTATTTGAAAAATATTGAGTTTTACAGATGTGACCTCATCTCTACAAAAGTACACAAAACATGTTTTGACTTCATTTTGATTTATTTATTTTTTTTTTTGGTACAAAAAATGAGGCTAAATGCCTAGGCTAGAGTTTGTCGGGGGTACGACACCCCCATGCTATCATGCTCAAGCCAAGTTCCCACACCTAGGGGAGGTGAAATGAGTCGCTGTAATGAAAACGGAGCCCGCCAAACTCGCTAAATAATCCGACGCGAAATTTGCTTCTCGATGCACATGTTGGAGACGAACAGACCAATCACGCGTAAATAAATCACGGATCGCCCTCACCATGGCCTCATGATGTCCAAGCGAACCATCCAGTTTTTGAACCATGTTCTTCACACACTGAGATAATTTCGTTCGATGACTCATTCATAATATTTAGGAGCAAGAACGAAAGGGAAATTATAAATATCAAAGAAGTATGTATCTATCTGCAATAAGTTCGACAAAAAAAAAAAAAATTCTTATATAAATTTGGCACAATATCACATGAAGATTGTTGAAAGAGGGAGAATAACTAAAAATAACAATAGAGAAAATGAGTATCAATTTTGAAGAAGGTCAATATTATATGCAAGTCAAACATTTATCAAACCATTTTTTTTTTCAACAAATCTACATAAGTTCAAGTTTAAATATCATACTCTAAAATAATATAAATAGACATTTGATTCAATTAATGTCATGTAAATATCTACTCCATAACAAGGAAAGACAAAATAGAATACGTAGGGAAAAGTATATGTATTCATTTCAAGCGAGCCCTCAACACATACTCCTCCATATTTGTATGTTACCATGGGTACTTGAGTTCTATCATCTTTTAGCTAGTTAAAAGATATGTTTATTCCGTGGAGGATTCTTTCTTTTCCTTTTCATAGTTGCAATTTCATAGAGTGTGGAATGAGAGTTTTAATTGTTATGTATTTTTTTTTTTTTTTAAGTATCACCAGAGAAACCAGCGATAACATATACATATGAACTGTTAGGCGTAGACATATAATACGTATACGTAAACAATAAAAAGACCAACACATAACATATACGTGTAAAAAATAATGTTGTTTCTAGGCATAGACAATAATAGGTGTAATTTGTCAGTAGGTCTTGTGTTGGGCTGATTTAACCATTAGGTCAATATACTATTTTCTCAAATATACATACTTTTATGAGAGAAAGTGTCATGGTTTGAAAAATATCATTGACAAAGTATGATATTTGATATGGGATACCATACCGAGTCGATTAGACCCAAAAAAACAACATGAACGAACCGAGCGAATCAACAGACCGAACGGAGATCGAAGGTATAACAAGTCAAAGAAGCCTCAAGTCGAAGGAGCATCGTTGATCCAAAGAACGCCGACAGGTCGAACTAAGGTAGGACCTGGAATTGAAACTCGACCTGAAGGGTCGGAGGAGCGACCAGAGGAGCAGAGCGTATGAGCTCGATTCCGTTGGCACTTCACCTCGAGGTAATGGGGGCGGTCGCACCATTAAACCATCTAATAAGGAAGAATAAATGATAAGAAATAATATTATTAGGATAAGATCCTCACGTGGATAGGGCCACATAGTCTAACAGAATTGGGCAGTTCGGGCAGCACGAACGGGGACTCCGAGCAGCCCACTCAGACAGTCTTGACCAACAAGGTATCATCTCCTTATGTAAGTGAGTGAGATATGCCAATTGTTACATTACATTCTCTATATTTTCTATATACATGCAGGACATCATCTTCTTCATTGTGCTAAACTTAAGCATTGACGACTCTTTATCGAAAAACCCCTATGGTGTGAGAGTTTCGCAAGTTCGTAGGACGTTCAACCGGCAAGAAGCTCAAAGCAAGCCGAATTCCAACCGGTCAGATGTCTTTTTCGTACCAACATTTGATAGTGAAAATATGAAAATATCGGATGACATAACTTATAAAGTCATCCACCACTATTCACTAATAAATAGTGTATTAATATGCGTTGTAAAATAAACTTATATACTTGATATGTCAAGTGCAATACATCAAATGGTTGACTTTATTAATGAATAAGTCGCTGGTTCTATAGAATTCTCTCTCTATTATTAGCACCCACAACAAGAGTTACACCAATGTTACATACAATTAAGTCCTTGATAATACTCCATATGCACACAACACATACTAGATGCCTTTATGACACCAATTCTAATGAATGCAAAAATATGCCTCTATATAAGTTTATATTATATCTTCTGTGTACTTAGAATTTTCCAAAATCACTTCTTTCTTCTTTGTATATTCTAGCAATTGACAAAAGCAAACACACCTTCAATAATGCCAAATGCAATCCAAATTCTGCTGTTGTTCCTCAAATGTCTTTTTTCCCATCTCAAAATTCGAAACCACCGATGAATTCTCGGCACTCATGGCCGTTTCTTGCGACACACTCATCATCTCACTCATTTTCTCTGGGGCCGAAACCATATTTGGGCCAAAACCCGCTAGAAAGCCCGTCAGTACTGTCGGGTCCTGGATCGCGCCCGGGCCCTGAGACCCGATTCCAGGCTGAACTGCAGGGAACTGCAGCCATGGAAAAGGAGAGGCTACTGAGGACGGGTAGAAAGTCGAGGCCAGTTCGTTGTTGGAGAAGCAGTGCACGTGGGCATGGGTTGGGCCCGGGCTAGGACAGGGCTTTGGCTTCATGTCCGTCAGCTGTGAGAGCTCGTCGCGGGCCGGGCTCGGCCTCATCAGCTCTGATATATGGACCTTTTTGCCCCCGGATGTTTTTTGAAATACTCTACTGATTACCCAATCATTCTGTGTAAAAAACACAAGAAAACAAGAAAGCTGGTCATATATTGAATAGAAACAGGGGAAAAACAGGGGAAATTATTCTCTTTTTTAATATATATATATATATATAAAAAAATACTACCATCTTTGGTTGATTTGGGGAGGTTTAAGAAATAGAGATAACACAAATTATGGCGTGAGATAGCGTTACCACAAAGTGAATTGCCATATGTTTTTAGCATAAATACATATTTATGCTATGAAATCACTTTTATTCATTTGCTTTTTCAAATTATGACATTAAATTATGTTATGAAATATCACTATTATTTATATAGTTTTTAAAATTATGACATTAAATTATATATATATATATATTGAAATGGTTAATTAATCGTAAGTGAATCGATCCCGTCATACATTTTTACCGTAAATGCATATTTTTATTAGTAAATACTACACTTTTATGTATATTAAAAGTGTATATTCTTTTTCAAATTATGACATTAAGTCTTGAAACGATTCGACTGTTGTTAGACATGTCTAACGGTTAGACGATCATTTTTTTTTTAACTCATGTGCATACTTTCAAATTGAAGTTGCTCCGAACCACACAAAAAAAAAAGTCGCCTTGTTGAAAATGTACGACTACTTAATCGTTAGCCTGTCTAACATCAGTCTACGTATCGCCGGGAAAGCAGAGTAAATTATCGTTTAAACCAAAAAAAAGAAACTACCATTAATGACAATCAATACCTTGGTTGATCTTGGGAGATTTTCAAGTGACAAATTGCCTTCCAATCTGTATTCATGGCATACCCAATTGGATTTTTCACCCTTTGGGGCCCTTCCCATGTAGAAAACTAGTGTTTTTTTCATGCCCACCAATTTTTTTCCTCTAAAAATCTCTTTATCTTTGCCAGTGGCTTTCCAATAGCCACTAGCTGTTGCTCTATTTGTCCTCAATCCTGTTGGGTACTTCTTATCCCTAACACAGAAAAAATACCACTCTTTTTCCCCCAATTTTGCTCTCCCTTTACACAAATCACAATTAAAAAAAATCACATAATTAGTAAGCAAACATAGCAAAAAGGATGCAAAATTTCACCTTTTTTTAATTCTTTCTTTTCACAAAATCTTGCGAGAGTCGGGCTTAACTGTTAGACGGGTCGACCAGTTTTATCGTAACAAAAGTATGCATATTTGTGAAATAGACCAACTAACTACTTTTTTTTTTTTTTTTCTTTTGGGAACAAAAAGAAGAAAGCTTACATGGTAATTCCCAAGGCTCAACTTTGTTCATATCAACATCTCCAATGGCTATAGGGGCGAAATCGGGATCCGAAAATTTCTTCGACAGGTAATGAGTGATGAGCTCTTCGTCGGTCGGGTGGAATCGAAAACCGGGCAGTAGCTCGATTAGATCACCACCCCTTCTCACAGCTCCATAATTGTTTTCCATGTCAAATTTTTGATAGATAAAGAAAGTTTGTATTTTTTTTTTTTTTCAAGAAAGTTTGTAGTGAGGTGAATTAAGAGAGGAAAAAGAGCATGAGGATCATAAGGCCATTAAATAGTTGTTGTTGGGCTCTTGTAGAGGTGAAAGAAACGTGAGTTCTAAGTAACTGAATGAGGTTAGTTTTTATTTTTATTTTTATTTTTATTTTTATTTTTTTGGCATTAAGCTTGAACAAATCCATCAATTGGTTATTGTTTTGACAAAATGCACCATATTAGAAAAAGACAAATATGCCACTCATTTGTATATTTAATATTCCTCTGACTAAATATAATTATTGGTAATATGATAATAAATCAGGATGATAAAATGTAGAACACAAAGTGACAAACTTACTTCTAATGGTGAAAAAAAAAAATGTAAAAGGATGTTATATGAATGTGGCTATAACTTATAATTTCTATAAATTATGTAAATATGGGATTCACTAAACACAAGTCATATTGCAACTAAAAATTTAATGGCAATATTCCAATGAAAATTTTAACGAGTATTCCAGTAGTGTAACTTCGTTTGAATGATTCCGGCAGAAATTCCAACTAATATATATTTCGTTGGATCGAATATTCCTTTGAAATTTTAGTAGGAATTTGGTGATAATTTCAAACGACACTTTTCCAACAGTTTATTATTGGACAATTTTCGCTGGGATTTTTATTTTCATTTATGTTCCAACCGTTGGAAAATCTATCATTTGAATCGTCAAAATCCAACAGAAATTCTAACGGAAAGCTCATTTCAACAAATTATTTTCGTTGGAAAATATTTAAAAATTCCAACAGAAGTAATACCATTGAAATTTCTATTGGAATATTTTTCGTCTGTTGATTATTTGGACAAAAATTGATGCATGCACAAAATTAAGGGGAAAAAAAAGGTTATAAATGGCACAGAATTTATATTTGAAAACAGCTGGTGTGCAGCATGTGTTCATAAAGTTGGATTTACATAAATCTTTCTAACATCACTTTACCTGAAATTAGCTTACATCCCATTTTGTCCGGAGCTAAAATGTCTATTTTACCCTTTTGGGCTTTGCGAGAGAAGTGCAATGTGAAGGACGACACGTTAAAGAATTCTAGAAGTGTTGTGTTCATAAAACAGTCTCACCGTGAGACCAACATATAGTAAAATTAGAATATTACATATTTATACTACTAAAAATTATATATTTTTGTTTATTATATTGTATTTTAAGTCTGATATTTTACAATGAAAGTATGTATACTGTATACATCAAAGGAGTCACTATTATTATTATTATTATTATTATTATTATTATTATTATTATTATTATTATTATTATTATTATTATTAGTATTATTATTTGTTGTTAAACGGGAGTCAACAACGTTAATTAAGTCGTAGTATCGCAATATAATGTCGAAATGAAGCGATTGTTAACCGTAAGAGACGTCGGTATAAACAGTAAATAACATCGGTATATATTGGAATTTCTAAATGTATTAGAGAGTTCTTGAAAGTCAAAAAGGTCCCGTTACAAATGATTGGATCTGCTATTTATAGAGCGATTGTTCCACTGTAAGAGGTGGATGTGACTGCATTAAATGCAAAATAACTTTTTGGAGGCGGTTGTCTGCCAACTGGACGACAATCATGATGACTTGTTGAGTTGTCGCCGCCTTAACTTCTTGAAAGTCAACTCTTATAGACTTCGGTTGGGAGGGTTCCGGTCATTGGAAGACCCCGGTTGAAACGGCTGGGTGGCCAAGTAGCGATTCCAGTGTCAGGGAATAACGTCGGTTTTTACTCTCGTTGCATCCGAGGTGTCCATACTTAATCTTTCAAGGCCGTCATTTGAGTGGAGTTTAGCAACTTAATTGTCTTCCCTTTATGATTACGAAAATTCATGTCAACATTATTATTATTATTATTATTATTATTATTATTATTATTATCATCATCAATGCAGAATAGGATCAAATTTCTCCATTCTTTATTGTTTTGGTCCCAACTAACTGCTACATTATACCACAAAAACTATCTGAAAATTAAATTAAAAACCTTTAAATGATCAATCATTCTTTGGACTAAAATAGAAGGGGCTAGAAAGCACAGTGTCATATTTTCCAACTGTCAATATAATAGAAAAATATTAATTGTTGACTAAATAATGGAGCATGAAAATGATAGTGTTATTTGTGTAAATTGTGTTAGAACAATATAACTTGTTTTATTCCCCATCTTCAATATTTGGCATTTAGTGCTCATTTTAAAATGGAGAAATGATACGGTTCCGTTACACAACCAAACCGTCGTGATTTGTAACTGTTAGATCAATTATCCCCGTATCCCCGACGGTTATATGATGATCTTACAAACCTCGATGGAATGGTTCCGTAACGGAACTGTAGCATCTTCCATTAAAATGATATTCAAGGTTGGATTTATACTTACACAAATTATCCCTATAAAAGGTCAAATTAGTGATCATACACAACAAAACCCAATTACATCAAACATACAGTAACAAGGAGAGTCAAATTTATAGGGTGAGCTAAAAAACATACAAGATTATATATATATGAACATATATCAAGAAATTTTCTTTTGTTTACTGTCCTTCCAAGCTTTGATCTCAGCATCAATTTTAGCTCGAACCCGAGCTTGAAAACCGGGGTATGGCTCGTATCCGAAGGTCGAATGCAAAGCCTGTAAAAGTACCGTAGATTCGTTAATCCGTAGGTTTATTTTGATTACGAAAGAAAAAAGAACTTAGTTATCTTTAAATTGCAAATTCTGCCCTAACATGTCCTAATGAAGTGCCCTAAAGTAGCCTTACATTTTCAACAGATATGCATATTTCCATAGCGAAATATGCATTTTCATAGCATAATTATGCATTTTGTTGAGAAAATATGACGAGCCGGCCAGTCTCACGGTTAGGCCGTCTGATAATTTTGGTATTCGTTTCGTGTTAATTTTGGATAGTCAGGGTGCCATTTTTGTAATTAAAGTAAACATTAGTGGCATGTTGTATAATTAACCAGTAACTTTATTTAACACTGCAGAATTTTTTTAGCATACATACCTCAAGAAGTACAAAATATGGTGCCATTAGGAATGCCTGTGCTAGGTTATCCAATAGAGCAGGCGCACGTTTCTGAAAATATCGATATCAAAGTTTTGTTAAGGTAAAAAAAAAAAAATAATAAACAAATAAATAAATAGAAGAGTTGAAAAGGGAGTAAAAATTAATCAGAACAATCACCTCAAAAACACCATGGCCTATGAACTGTCCAGTCCAGCAAAATAACTGAGATGCCAAAACAACCTAGCAAAAAATACCAAATGTAATAATTAGAGCAAAGAAAATCGATTTTTCAAAGCATCTTTCTGACTCTTTTCAAGCATAAGAGATAGACATAACTAAACGGAACCTTTAGTTGTAATTTTTTGCAACTTTACTCGACGAAAGAGAGACTTCCTTTAGATCTTGTCATTCATATAAAGAGTTGAATGTTCTCACAACGTACGCATCAAAATAAAAACTTGCCCATATTTGAAAGAGAATTGGAACAGAATTGATGAAGAGAGATATTACAGAATAAGAAATCAAAGCAACATAATTCGATCGGAGTTTGTGATATTCCAAATATGCCAGCTACTATTCAGTAAGTGACGAAAAATCAAAGAACTCTTTTGTTTAATCTTATTTGGTATATACATTCCATAACAGATTATTGTCGTTCAAAAAATAAATCAAACTTCATGGATTTGGTAAGAAAAAGCAGGGTACATAATAGGCTTGTATAGAAAATAGCCTTCGCAGTCAGTTATAATGCTTAGAAATTTAAAACAGCAGCAAAACTAAAACGCATTACAACAAGTCAGCCGAAACAATGAAAAGGCACGGATAGCCAAATTGCGCGAACGCGAGGAATTTACCCAAATTTTACCTACATCCACTTAATCTCTTTCTAAAATTCCACTTCCTGCATTTCTCTCATTTCCAACGGCTCGAGCCTTTATCAAGTCGAACGGGGCTCAGTTGTTAATTACAAAAGAAAAAAACGAGCTCGAGCTCGGCCCGTCAATCAATATTAACAAGCCAAATTAAATAAAAAATTAGAAATTTTCGTAAAAAACCCTATTCTTGAGCCTTAACCAGACGAGCGAACTCGACTCGTTACCTGAACGAGCTTTAAATGAACCCGAGCTCGGCTAGTTGGCGAGCTCAAGCCTTGACAAGCCGCTCTCGTGAGCGGCTCGTTTATTTTAACGGCTCTGTTATCAACACGACTTTGAGAGATATGACCATCATTTAACAGGAGAAAAAAAAAAAAAAAAATACTGAAAATGTCCTTATATTAGATAATTTAATGATTCTTAATGACCAATTCAATAGCATCACAAAGCATGCCAAAATTTGATCGAGTTTGAAAAAGATAATCGGAACAAAAATGACATAGAGAAATGTATAGAATAAGAAATCGAAGCAACAAAATTTGGTCGAGTTCATGATATTCCAAACCTGCCAGCTACCATTCACTAAGCGATCAAGGAGTAAATAAATCTTTTCTATTTTTTTCAAATCTTATTTGGTATATGCATTCCATGACATATTATTGTTGTTTGCACAAACCAAACTTCATAGATTTGATAAAATAGCATTCCGTTTTGCTGAAGTATAAAATAAGCTTCTATAGAAAATACGGTTCTTAAAGTTTCCGAGGGCAACTCATATACTTCCGCACTCGACAATAATGCTTAGCGATTTAAATCAGTAGCAAAATTAAAGCTCACTACAACAAGTCAACCGAAACAATGAAAGAACACATACAGCAAGATCGGAATCGCACCCAAATTGCACGAATTCGATAAATTGCACCACAATGTGTCGCATTCTTGTATTCAGAGTTCAAGTAAACAGAATTCAACCGATACCCGTCTAAGATCTACCCGAATTTGATCTAAATCCACTTGATTCTCGTCCTAAAAATATCATTTTCCTGCATTTCTCTCAATTCCATTATCCAACCCCAACTCTGACTTCCCTTCAAATATATTTCCTAATCCCTTTCCCAAATAAACAATTCCTCACCCAGCTATGGAAGTCAAATTATACTAATAATAATAATTCCACCAAACAGAATAAACCCTAATAAATAGTAATGAATCCCACCAAACAGAGCAAACCCAACAAAAAAAAAAACACTCATATAATAATGGAAGATGTTCCGTCGGAGTTTGTAACCGTTAGATCAACTATCTCTGACGGTTAAATGATGATCTAGTCTCGACGGAATGATTCCGGGACCTTAGCATTTCCCTATAATAATAACAATTAACAACAATTTACGAAACAACACAGAGAATAAAAACCCATTCCAAGAAACACTTGCCTTCCAAGCCAAATCGAAGCCCAGGCGATGGCCGAGGGCACTGCTACCAACCCAGCACAGGAAAACCAACAAAGCAGCTAAAGATCCCGCCTTTCTATCCAAAATCACATAATACAGAGCGTAAATCGCAGAAGCCATAAACCCAAAGTTGAGGAACAAGAAACCATGGTCCCACGGCCCGATCGGGCCGCGGCTGAGCACGGCCGGCGTGAAATACAGAAGAAGTTGAAACGTGAAGAGGATTGGCCAGACGAAGATCATGTGGACGATTATGTTCGCGGGGTTGCTGTGGTAAGCCCCGTAGAAAGCGAATTGTTGCTCCAAATCAAACAATCCCATCTTCGGCTTTTGCGGGAAATCTTTTCTCTGCGGGTTGAAAAAAAATGGGATTTTGAGAGGTGGGAGTTGGTTTTTTTATTTCTGGGGTTTTACTTTAATGGTCATTTTTTTTTACAGGGACCTTCCGGTTTCCGGATCCACAGGGAAACCGACTAATCCGGAATCGAGCCGAGTAGGACCACAAAGGACGGCAAAACTCTCGCTCGAGACTTTAATGGTCATTGAGTGGTGTTTGTGTCGAGAAAAACGACAGCCAGCTGAAATTTTGGTAAAAAAAGATTGGGCCTTTCTTGAATGTATATTGACGGCAGTCACGAGATCACTTTTGTAAATTGCAATTGTGTAAAAATGTTACGGTCCTATTACAGAATCATTTCGTAAAGACATGTAATGTTATATCAACTATTTCCGACAGTTACATAATGATCTACGGGTCATAAACGCTGACGGAATAGTTCCTTAACGAAACTGCCCTGTATGTGTTTTTTTTTTAAAGAGAGTAATAGGTAGAGCAATGTTAAAACCTAGATCAAATTACACCCATTAATTATTATTGTTTTTATTTTATTTTACTTTATATAACATTTTTAGAACAAAAATTCATATCATACC